GGTCTTAGCTTCAAAATTACGGCTTATTTTTTTGGTGTTACATTTCCATTTTTGGAGTTAGAGAAGGATCTACAAGAACAATAAAAAATTGTGGGACTAGGTGTCTTGCACTATAGAGTTATTACAACTTTAAAGTCAAACCTATTTTCAGATTACTAATTAAAATTCTCAGATTACTAATTAAACATTGTAAAATTATAAGTGAACGCTAAGTGAATGCTAACCAAACAATATACAAACCCTTAATTTGCTGAAACTATTGCTGAAATTTATTAGTTTAGGCAAACTTCTATAGAGTCTTAAACCTGATTCCAGAAATGCAATTGCAAATAATTTTTTTACAGCCAACATGTTTATTTTTCGTTGTTCCTTTGTGAAAAAGAAATGAAAGGTCAAGCATCACACTTCCTTTGAATTTTCAGATAGAATTTTCTTTGAAACTACCAAGTATTATCTTATAGAGATTTTTCAAGAATACAAGTCTATGAACAAGGAGTGTTTCATCCCTCACGGTATTGCATATACCAACAACAGTTACAAAAAATCCAAACTTGGGAAATCCTCAATGTCATGACCACAGAGTAAAAGCGCAAGCTGCATTAATAGCCTTTGAGGTAAGGACTGATTCAAAATTCTTGCCTAATCTCTGCGAAGCTCGGCGTACTTAATCTTCTGACAGAAGGTGCTGGATGTGTGCCTAATCTTCTGACAAAAGGAGTTCTGAAAGGTGCTACCAACAACAGTTACAAAAAATCCAAACTTGGGAAATCCTCAATGTCATGACCACAGAGTAAAAGCGCAAGCTGCATTAATAGCCTTTGAGGTAAGGACTGATTCAAAATTCTTGCCTAATCTCTGCGAAGCTCGGCGTACTTAATCTTCTGACAGAAGGTGCTGGATGTGTGCCTAATCTTCTGACAAAAGGAGTTCTGAAAGGTGCTCAGGGTTCGCCTAATCTTCTGTTAGGAGAAGTTTCTAACCAATAATTATCTAGAGAAGAAAATTTTTGCATTTGTGTTTTACTGGGATATTTTCTCGCAACCCTTTTTTTATCAGGGCCAGTCTTTATAAGCCAGCTGATCTTTCTTAATAAGGAAATTTTGAACAATAAAATTTTTATGATCTTTTTTTTTATTTTGTTCATTATTATTATGTTTTATTGAAGGCCAAACTTTTGTTAAAAAATTAATTCTTACATTGTTCACTTTTTGAGGCTAATACTAAGGAACTTTAATAATAGAAAATCAATGATAATAATTTAGTATGTATAATAAAAACCAATAGTTTATTTAATATAACTTAATGATATAACAGTAG